CGACAAGTGGTGGAGCAAAACATGACAAGGGGTCTAAAAACCCCCAAAACACATGTCAAGATGACGTTCATCTTGAGAGGGACAAGGAGAAACCCTCCACCCACCACCGACCACCGCCCACCGATGCAACCACCCGCTCACCCGCCCAACCACTTACTCGCTCTCTGCCGCAAACTCCGGCGAGAAAGCCGCCCATGCATCCGTGACCGGCGCCCTCGTGAACTCCGCCCTCGTGATAATGTGAGAGGAAAATATAGATCAGGAAAAAGATGATGAACAAGAAGAAGAAGAAGAAGAAGAAATCACAGCAACCAGAGAGGCCAACTCCCTTACAGAGAGTTGCAGGCGTTCTCGATGAGGTTGATCTCGCCGGGGAAGTTCTGGGTGATGCGCGAGTTGAACTTCATGACGCTCTTGGCCCTGATGTAGTTGGCGAGGTCAATGTAGACAGGCTGCTTGACGACGTTCCAGGCAATGTTCTGGGTGCAGGGAGGGGTAGTCAGGGAGCCCGAGTACTGGAACACGGCGGACTTGGCGAGGTGGTTCTTGAGCTCGTTGAAGGACAGGGGGCCGGTCTTGGTCAGGGTGCCGGGGTCACGGATGTCGTTGAGGTTCTTGAAGACATTGGGCCAGAGCTTCAGGGCCTGGCTGGCGTTGCCAACCTCAATGAGGAAACCAACGACGGAAAGGGACGCATCTGCAAGGAGCGTGTCAGGTGGGTGTGCATGCCAGAGAATGTACTGGTAGGTGGTACGAGGAGTAGGGTCAGGGGGCGAGGGGTCCCGGGGTCTTGGCACCACTATATATGATATAAGGTGGCCATGCGCGTAAGGGAAAGGGGAAAGGGGAGATAGCTGTGCAACAACTTAAGGTTACAACAAATTAAGGTTGCACAGCCCCGAACCACAACCACATGGTCTGGACGGAGACCAGGAAGCATCCGAGTGCGTGATATACAGGAGGAAATAAAACAGTGTCAGACTTACCGGCAGCTTGGAAGACAAAGTGCACCTCCATGGGGTAGTGCTCGCTGTCCACGCGGTGCTCGCTCGGCGTGTGGAAGTGGAATTGGACGAGGTTATACGTCTTGCCGCTGCGAACCAGGGTGCCGTTAGCAACAACCTCGACGGTGCTGCCCAGGTTCAGGAACTTCGCGCCCGTGTTGGGGACCGTGTCAATGTTGAAACCGAGGCTGCTGCCAGCCACCGTCTTCCATTCCGACGAGGCGAGGTTGATGGGGCTTTGGTTCTTGCCCTTGGCACAGTTGATGTTACCAGGGGCCAGAGCGTGCCAGTTTAGCGGGCCATCGAGCTCGTTGAAGCCGAAATCGGCAACGTGAACCTCGTCGACGCTCCGGGGAAAGAAGGTTGTGCCGTGGTCGCAGATGGCAGCGGCCAGGCTGGCCAGGGTGGCGAGAGCGAAGAAGGACTTCATGGTGAAAAGGGGGATGATGAGGCTTGAGAAGTGGTTGAAGGAGTATGGACGGCGTTGAAGGATGAGCAAGAGACGTGAGCCAGAGCCACAAGAACAGAGAGATGCAGTTCAAAGAATCTGAGAAGAGAAGAGGAGCTGTGCGAGATGTTGCGTGATGAGGCAGTAGCACAAACGTCTCCAAGCCGCGGGTTCACCCCAGGGTTTTATACCCAAAAGTCTCCGCGCTGTCAACATCATGGCCATGCTGCCAGCGGCACGGCCATGCATGGCCAGAGACGGCATGTTGCAGTCGACGCTGTGGGTGACAGGTCGTCGATGAGTGCCGAGTATGCCAAGTCTCTTCTGAGGGGCAGGGTCGTATCGGAAAGCCCCAGGGGCCGGAGGGACGGGAGAGAGGGGTGTGGTCGATGGAGAATATTTCGCACTCGAGATCAGGGATTCGACATCGATGGGATCGCGCTGCGCCCGCCATCGGCTTCGGGCGCACGAGGGCTCGCGCTGTGGCCAAAGAGGCAAGTGCAAGGGCTGTCGGTGCCGTGATCCGGTATCAGCCAGGCTGCTTTTGCGTGTGCCAGCACGTCAGCTCAGCTGAGCTTACTCGCCTACCCGTGTCTCTCTCTCCCGTGGTCGACAAAGAGGCCTCAACCAGGCAGCTGAGCCGTCTGATGGCAGGCAGGACGGGAACATCTCGAACGTCGTTGTTCGACTCTTGGTGAGCGTTGGTGGTGGAGTAATTGCTGTTGCAGCGTATTCGCATAGCATTGGTGGAGAAGCTTTTTTTTGTGTGCCCTTCGTTCCAGGATGATTAACCTTGAACCAAACTATCCGAGTCCAGAACTACCTACCTAGGAAGAGACCCCAACCCCGCGCCAACGCAGTGCGATGAGATGAACGACCCCCCGTCAACTACTTACCTTAAGCGGTATCATGGAATGCTTGGCATCCAAGGCACCTACGTTCGGGAGTGGACATGGGTGAGCTCGTCAGCGCTCTCTGATGTGGCTGTGAGGCTGGCTGACCGGGGCCACGTACGGATTGGGACAATCCCCCCCTCCTAGTATCGCCAGATCTTGGCAGAGCGCCGGAGCCAAGACACCGAGAGTGCGGTAGATGAAGCTTATGAAAGTTGTCGTCGCAAGAAAACTACTCGAAAAGACAGACTCGCAGGGGTTGCTGTGTTGAGTTCATTTTCTTCGTCGGTTGCAATATATTGCGAAGGAGGCGCGGTGAGTCCGTAGGCAACTCCACAACCGCCCACCTCAGCCGGCTTCACAGCTCGGCGAGAACGACGTCCTGTCGTCAGCGCACGCGCTGGGCACATGACTCTGTCCTGTCCTCGCCCCCAGGCACCTCGCCTCTCGCGGAATCTACTTTTGGGGGCAGATTGGTGCCTTGCAGGTCTACGACCAGACCAGCAGGCTGCAGACCGGGTCAACGGCACTGACCAGCCCCTATTCGTCCCATGTCGGAGAGCTCCCAACGAGCTCTCCAATCTTTCAGACAAGAAAGGCAAGCAGGGCATTCTGGGACAGGACTCCCGGATTGCTGGGATTGCTGAGGTCAGCAGAACCGTTTCAACTAACCTTTCCTTAACCAGTCTCCCTCGTCCAGTCGCGACCATCTAGCAAGCTTACCTTACTAGCTTAGGGTACCTCGATCGAAATATCGGTCAGGTAAAGTGATGCAATGTAAGCAGCCTCCTATGGAGTTTGGTGCCTCTCCATAGTCGCGCGCTTTCCTAGCTGTTGTGCTCGGACGGTACGGCTAGTCATCCGCCATCATCGTACTCGCGTTGTCAATCCTGCCCTCCATTGTCGCGACTCTGACCGGTCGGCGTCGAAGGCGAAGTGTGAAGTGAGACATGCTTGTCACTTGACGGTCTCGTGTGAAGTAGAGTAAGCTTCTCTTGGCGACCGGTCAAACGGGCTGTCAACGCCACACGTGGTGGGGAACAGCACGGTTTGGTAGAACTGCTGGACTCTTTAGCGCCAGCTCGTGCTTATGCTGACATTCATGTTTTGTTTTCCACTCTTTCGCTTCTTCCCTGACATGCACATGCGACCACTGCAGATGCGGCGGGCAACAAGGGTCGCCAGTGGTCAGCACAAACACCGGGACACATTCCCGGCCTCGGTACCCCACTGCGGCTGGATCGGCCGGGCTGGCCCGAATCTTCACATCTTCATGGACCTGTCGAATGGAAGGTCGGGCGTGGCAATCATGGGAATCGAGGAGGATTTGGAGGCGCCATATCCTGCACGACGGTCCCGCGCCACTCGCGCCGTCGCCGTCATCAGCTCATGCCCAAGCTTCCTGCCGCAGCAGATGTGTAACTGCCTTCCGCTTTGGGACTCCAACACGATGTCACGGGTCGTCGGATGTGAGAGTGGCTTCGAAACGGAAAAAAAAGCCCAGGCAGAGCAGCAGGCCATTGGTGCGGCGGCATCTCTTGGACTTTACCGCGTCTGGCCCGCTCCCCTGGCGGCTGCCGTCATCCTTGTGTGTCTGGCAAGGCTGTCTTTTATCGAAGCGGGTGCTGACATCTACGCCGCTGGATGCCCATGTGAACTTGTCGTCTCACAGGTGCAAATGAGAGGCAACCATGGCCGCCGGGAACGCGGTACAATGCTGAATGATGCATCACAGGAGTGCCTTGTTTGGTCACGGCCGGGACAAACCGGGGTCCCTTCAGGCGGGCGCTGGTTGGGAGTAAGGCCATTGATGCGCATTTCTCGCTCGCATCTCGCGTCTGGCGCATTGTTGCGTCACGAGAATCTGAGCTTGCGCCTCAATTGTGTTGTGACCTGGCCGCAGGCTTCATGAAGGATTCGTCACAACGCCAATATCAGGCGTCCGCATGATGAGCCATTTTGGCAAGTGTTCTGGATTTCTTGAAAGAAGATGACCGCCGGTCATACTGAAATCTGACCTCCCTCTTTCGGTCCAAAGTTGCCATAAACCCCCAGCTCTGTCGAAGGCTGTTGGTCATGGCAGTGCTTTTATTCAATGTGTTGTAGCAGTCGCTGATTCTGCCGTTTACGTCAGGTTGTCGAAGTGTGCGCAATAGCTTCTGGTTATGCTTACTGCTATGGCCAATGGCAACTCTTCCTTTCTTTCGAGTAGCCGTCATGTGGAGGGTGTGGTCACATCACCGTCGGCTCTCGAATGCGGCATGTAGAAGTCTCGCAAATAACAGTCCCCGTCGGGGTCGTTTTGTTCTGCTGCCCACAACAGGGAAGAAAGAAGCCCGAGAGAAGTATCGGCTGGTCAACTTTAAGGTGTCAATATTCTTTCCCAGGCAGTCAGATTGTGCCTTGTGCCACCTACTTGGTCGCTGGAGTAGTCCTCGAAGCCCGATGAATAAATTTACCAATCAATTACATTCGTCTTCATGGTTGAATGATACTGCCCGTGTCGAATTTTGTTATATGACGCCTGCTTATCTCATGTGTTTCGGCGAGTAGCAGCGTCTGACTGTGATCGAGCATGACGACCACCTGGGTCGTCAACGTTGAACGCGGTTGAGGTTCAATTGACGGGTTACACAAAGGCTTTAGTCAGCTCACAAAGTAATTCTCATGGATCACATGCTTCCCCCCAGTGTTGTTGTTGTACCGTCTCAAGAGATTGAACTGCTAGGTAGCATAGCCAGGCCATGTCCGACACTCATCATGACGGGTGCCGAACGTGGCTTGAAGGCAAACGTTGCACAGAGATATCTGAGAGCTCGGATGATGCGTCGAAGTCGAGTCCGACCTCGTCGAGGTGCCGTGCTTGGCAAGGTTGAGGAATGTTCGGCGCCTGTCTTATGCTTATCGACGAGTCGGGTGTTGAGCATGCAGTGAAGCTCCCGAGATATCGTGCGGTCACAATCTGACCTCTCACGGACCCGACATTGTAAAATCCACAGCATGGCTTGTGCGGGGCCGTGACACGGCGATACTGTGTACCAGCCCACCCATGCGTAAACTTGGTCGGTGCCACGTCTACGTACCAGAATAAATGCCTTTGGGCACGTTCGAATCATCAGATTCCGTGGCGTCAACATGTCCTTCTCTGAGCCATGCTGCCGATGCTCCTTTGGGGAATCGCTCACTTTGCTCCATTGTGGGTTCGTTCAGAGAGAACTTCCGCTGCATCATGCATTGATGTCAAGGTAGTGAAGGAAACTCAAAGCTCATGATATTCATCAGGAGGCATGCAACTTCTGAAGACTGAGTGCCCGCCTCGTCATCCCCACTAGGTGAAAGAGCGCCGAGCCTGGCTCTTGAGTCGTGAGGAGCGCGATTCTGAGTTCAGTTGAGTGTACGAACTCTAGAGGAAAGAGGTTGCATGTGAGATCCATGTCTCCGACTTTCCCGATTTTAGCACGTCACCCAGTACTAGACCACCTGCTAGAGCTGATGTTTCATCCGACCCCCTGGCAGGTTGCGACCTGGCTGCTGTGGGAAGATGAGGAGGCTAGACAGTGCCTCCCTTCACTGCTCTGCTTGAAGGCCCAATACAGGTCGCGCATTGCCTCCACAAACAGTCCTGATACGCTCGAGAAAAAGGGCCCCTCTCCCGTTAGAATACTGACCCTTGGGTCGATTTCTCATGATCGAAATGTCCTCTTTTCTGTTGTAAAAGCTTACGAGCCGATTCATCATGGTGGCCCTTGCTGCGGGCCTAGAAGTGCCGGAATGAAGCCTCCTTGCATACGCGTCTTCACTAGAATCCCAAGCATGGCGCCCGAACCGGGTAAGGTGGCAAGAGGTCAGGCCATACATGCACACGCACGCACACCGGAGTCTGGGTGCGCACAACAACAGGCCGTCAAAAGATGGTTCAGTCGACGAAGAATATCTTCAGAGTGTCCGACATGAGTCTGGCACAACCCTGCCTGCCCGTAGAAGTTGTCTGGCAATGCGCGACAAGGTTAAGAGACTTGATCGGCTCGTTCGCCTGGCGACGGCTTGTTTGCGACCATGCCAACATGGAAACTTGTCCGTCGAGCGTGGACTTCAAAGAGACGAGATGCAGGGCGAGAGGCCCAAATATAGGAAAAGCCCACGGACTCAAGCTCCCTGGCCATATAAGAACTCGAGGCCTATAATGTCTACTCCCGGTTGATGACACGTGGGTCGAGCTTTTATTGAGCCGTCTGTCGTGGTTGCATCCACTTGGTGCTCGAACCTGTGCGATTAATAGGCGCTGCCTTGGAGGTGCCCGAAAACGCGCTCATATACCTCGATAGCTGCCACTGCTAACAAAGTCTAGATGTACAGTGTGGTGGGGTGACGTGAGAGCCTAGTAAAGCGAGCCGATGCAATACGAGGTTCCGTCGCCCTGCCGCTTGCAGAAGGCAGATTTCGGATGCTGTCGGCCTCCGTTGTTACAAAGGACAGGGGAAGGAACATGCTGATCGAACGGAACGTTTGAAAGCCCGTCAAAAACTCGCCCCTCTGGCTATACGAAGAAGCGCCGTTGCAAAATGACGATCAGTACTCACAAAGGCAAGAGCCGACCGACAGAATATGGATTGCGAGGCGAGCAGTGCATGTGTTGGTTTTCAGATTTTCACAGGGGGACGCCGATTAGAGAGAGAGAGGAAACCAGGAAGCCTCAAGCTCCCTCGACAACAGCAATCACAATTGCTGCTGGTGCAAAAGCTTCTCGCATGGCAGGGAGGCAGACGCAAAGGGCTTATACCTCATCTTACAAGATCACCTATTGATTGGTGATGGTTCTCCTGCATTCGACAGCAGGGAGAGAATGCGGACAGACAGGGTCTCAGTGATCTCTCGGGTTCGTGTGGAAAGTCCGGTCCGTCAAGTTGCCGTACTTCTACATACGCAGTAGCGTGGGAAACGGATCCCTTTGATCAGGATCTCGACAAGGTACCGGTACCCTTGGTGGAGACGCGGCGTGCGTTGGGTGTCAGGGATCTCTTGGCCGTGGGCTTTGTATGGTTTCCCAGTGTTTCCCCTGGTGTTCCTCTGCGTCGATTCATCTGATGGCCAAGTGCTCGTTAGTCCCGCCACAGCCAGCCCCTGTCGCGTCCTGTCGGGTTAAGGAGGCCAGATCAGAGACAAAGGACAGCCGCGCGCTGCTGCCGCCGAACATGTCAACGAAGGTTCTTGACAATGATCAGACAGTCTCTCACTAGCTTCATCTCTTGAGTGTGATGAACGGAGGCGCGGGAGATCGAAATCGTCGCCGAGTTTGATTATGTAGGGCCAGGTCGGGGAATTCTTTTGATGACCAAGTCATGCTCGTGTTAAGGATTGATGAGACGCTGATGGACAGGCAGTACCTGGTTCACCTGGATTGCAGCATCGAGCAAGAGCCTTGCACTGGAACCCCATCAACCCATCTCCCATCCCGACAGGCCCTAGTCTAGCGCCATTCCGATCAATGCCAACTCGAGGGGCTCACGTCCAATGGGAACGCGAGCTTCGCTGGCTGCAGCTTCAACGCGGTCGCTCTTGCATCGTGCAGTCAGCATGGGAGGCAAGACAAGGGGGAGGAGAGTGGAGAGAAGACACAGAAGAGAGAGGAGGAGAAGGGGGGGGGGGGTTCATCATAATGTGTACTGGGCAGGGTGCACTTGAAGTAAGGTACCTAAGTAGGCACCTGTCCATGTACGTGCAGCATAGGTGGTTCAGTCCATACAGTATGAGCGTCCTACATGTCTGAAATGCGATAGGTAAATTTCCCTGTGAGAAGACTGTGAAAACGGAGGCGAAAAAGAGCGATAGATTCGGATGACCAATGAAGCCTGTGCTGTGGCAGTTTCATTCAGCAACAACAGCCCGCCTCTCAAGGGCAGAAGCCGCGACCGACCGGCCGGATGATTGCGAGCAGGCGTCTCGAAGCTGATCATCAGGTACAGTGCACAAGTTCAGCGAAATAAATAAAAGGGGGCGCTTGCGCAAGCGGTTCACCATTTTGTCGACACTAGATCGTTAGCACCATCTCGTCAATCGATAGCTTTTCGACACAGGCACAGGCACAGGCCGAAATAGAGTACGGTGCTCCACTGATGACCGTGTCGCGTCTGTAAACACCAGCCGGGTGCGCGCCCTGTGCGAGACCCCCCAAAGGAGCGAGGCGAGCATGCTAGACTTCCTACCTACCACCCGTGCCGTCCTAGGCAAGTTCCAAGCCAGCAAGCGCAAGCCAGGCACCACTGTGGCCGGCGGGCGGAGAGTAGGAAGCCTGCTCTCGCACTACATAATGTCTCACACATGGTGTCAGGGGCGGGCCACTGAGAAGTCGCACAGTGTCGCTGTAAGTGGGCCCCCCTGAGCTCCGTAGTGGCGTAGCAAAGTAGCGTCCCTGCCTGTGATGCAGATTCGCTTGGTCGGCCAGAGGAGCCAGACAGAGACGACACCCAGGCGGGCGGAGGACCACCAAAGAGCAAGGACGATACGGAAACCTTCACAATCTTACCATCTCGACCCCGACATCCGTACTCCTTTCCCCCTTCTCCCCTTTGCGTTTTCGTCCATCATCATCATCGTTGTCAACAACGAAGAGGGATCGTGACTGTTCCTTCGCTCTCCCCCTCCTAGCCTCGTCTCATTCTTTCTTTCGTTCCCCGTACTCCTTTCCCCCCTCCCCCCGACGGCGACCCCCCTCCCCTTTCAAACGTGCCACTCATCAGCCAGACAGTCCTGAATCCGCTCAAAGGTTCTGTCCGTTCTCTACGAATCGCTTCGCCAACAGCATTTGCCCTCTCACGAACCCGAGCGTACCCTGCCAGAACCGTACTGGTCTCCTGTCGTCCATTCTATTTCTTTTCGATCGCATCTTTTATCGGCTCTACAGCGTACTGCACCATTGCCATCCATCCTCCCTTTCTGTCTTCTCCGTGACGACGTAGAACACCGACATCTGCCCACACCACCCATCTCTTCCGACATTTGCGAAGCTCCTCCACCAAGGCTCTGTCCTTGTCTATATCAGGCCTGTCAATATTTTTGAGAGATCCTGTCCCTCATTCTGCTTGGGTATCCAAACAATCAAAGCGTTCTTGCCCTCCCACGTGCTTGAATCACTTGAGAGCTCCTGAATCAGTTTGGCCATCGACGGGTCATCTCGCCACCAGTCGGGCGTCAGACCTACAAAAGTTGTCGACGGTGACGGTGGGATTGCTCGTAACAGTCCAAATCGACACCATATAACCACTCGTTCTTACACACTCCTCCTACCCCCTTTCGGCCGCAGGCGACCTTCGATTCATCAGACGTTACTCGCCTTTCACTGTTCAAGCAGAGAAGTAACCGCAACCACGACAGGCTCGATCCAGGCCTCGTTGTTTCTTTTCCTCAAGGTTAGCAACCCCCGCCCTCCAGTACCCCAGATTTCCCAAACGCGAGGAATTCTGTGCTACTCTGTTTTCCTTCTTGAACTTTCGGCTGACCTGCTGCGCGCCACAGATTGCCCTCCATCTGGCTCTCTAACTCACATTGATCGGTACTCGCAGCGTTACTATCCGCAACCCCGTTCTTTGTGAGCCCAGTCGGACAGGTCCACATTTGCCTCTCGACGGCTAAGAAAGGAATTCTTGTTGTGACCTGTTGTAAACTTGTCAGGAATATGGCTGCCTTGGTCCAGACCTACCCCCAACAGACTAGCACCGTTACCGTTCTCCAGGCTAGGCCCACAGCCAACAATATGCTTCCTTCTCAAGCTCATGCTAATCAGCAATACATGGCTGGCCAGCAAGCTCAGAGAAATT